CATCTCTGGCTGGTCCCAAAGTGGGGTGGTAATGGAGATTTTGCAATATCCTTCCTCCAGGAGTGGGGAGGAAATGGGGATTTTGCAATGTCCTTCCGCTGGGGTGGGGTGGGAATGGACATTTTGCAGTAACCTTTACCTGGAGTGGGGTGGGAATGGAGATTTTGCAGTATCCTTCCCCTGCCAAGCCACGCCCACCAAGCCACACCATGCCCACCAAGCCACGCCCACAGAACCAGTAGTAAAAAAAATTGGGTTTCACCACTGCTATACAAACCATTTCAAATTTGAAACAGGTTGTTTTATATTCTGGAAATATTTTGAACCTGAAACAGCTACAACCTGAGCTCATGTTACTTCTGAAACGAACAGGACAACTTGTTCCAGAGTTAAACAACTGTTCCGAACTTGAAATATTTTGACCATAAAACATTTTGTATGTTTCTACTGAAAATACAGTGTTGTTGCATTTTTAATATTGGCAAGAATTCTTGTTTCATCCTGGCTCCTTGGCTAATGCTTTCCCAGCATCTCAGCTGGTTATCATGGTATCTCAATATATTGATGTTCTTTTTAAACAGAAGAGAAGATTTTCTGTGCCACAACTGTTCACAAAAACTGGCTTTAAAATGTTGCAGTGAAAATAAATTCAAGTAATGACAAAGAAGGGGGCAGAAATCTGGTGATGGGGATTTTTGCACGTTGGTTAATTGGAATGAGTACTGGTTGGATTTTGGAAGATTCTGAGTATGAACAACAACAATGAAGATACTCCTGGAGTACTACAAGTGTTTTGTTGTTGTTATTGTGTAGGAAATGAGGCCTATAGCCTCATGGAAGTCCTTTGGCTAGTTCAATAAACAAATATTCATACTTCCATTGTTACAATAATGACCTATTTAGAACTATAGATGTTATAAAATTTCCTTAAACCATTCATAATTATATTATTCTGAATATAAACAAATTTGCTTTGAAATTTCATGAAATTTAATCTTAATGAGAAATAATTATATTCTACATTTTAATTTTAGTAAATATAAGATTACATTTAAGAAATGCTGTCATATGCTTTGAATTTTATGAAACATGTATTAAAATTGTTGGTGAGGTATTGCCTTATTATTCTATTTACTGCCTCAGTAGAAGAGACTGTAACTAGGATAAATAGGCTTGAACAAGGAAACATGATTTCATTACAAACTTTAATGTTCAAGTCAACATAAGCATATACTAAAATGCCAAATGAAGTAACCTCATTATGATGGAACATAAACTGAACGATTGCTTGCTTTTCTCAGAATGTCTTTTTAATTGTCCTTATTCCATAATTTTATTGGAACATGATCGTGTTTTAGTATTTCAGTATTCAAATACATGTAGGATTATTTGCATCTATTCAGATTTAAAAGTCTAAGCCCAGTTTATTGAAAAGAATGAAACCTTTGCCATTGATTTATGCCTGGCATTAGATAGAGCTTAGCTCATCATTCTGCACTTCTGTTTATGATGATTAACATTCATTTATTCCAAAGGGATACTTTGATTTAGCATTAAAATGTGAGAAATGCCTATAAGAGATTAAGAGAAGCCAAGAATAATTTTCTTCACTTATGAAATATTTCTATTTGACATGTCAAAGAATAAACTCAGACTTTAAAACTACCTTGAAGAATTCACAGTTTTAAGTACTCCAAGGTTGCAACTTCATGAGCACTAATAATTCAATCCTACTTAAGTCACCTTGGAAAACAGCCTGAGCTTAATAAAACTAAATCTCAGGTTAAGTAGATATATGAATTTAATGAAAAATTCCCACCACCACCTGAACGTAAGTTGCAAACTGATTTTAACATTGCCTGAAATGTCAAAATACAGACTCATAAATAACCAGATGTGTTAGACCAAACAAGAACACCCAAATGGGGTGCAGATCTGGTAGATGTTCAAGCAAAATACTGTACATGCCTCTGTAAATGTTAATGTTTTGCATTGACATCTTTTGACTCTCCTGTATGAGATCAGTTTAAGAAAAGGAGGATAGGTTGGCATAAAACAGAAGATTCTGACACAATTAAGGAGTTAGTCTGGCATCTTGGATCATGTCGTGGGGTCTGGTTTTTTTTTCTTTTTCTTTAAAGGTTTCTCTTTCCTACAATTGGAAATATAAAATAGAAAAGTGTTATGCCTCTTCTACTGGACAGACCATAGAAAGATCTTGTTTTCATAGATTAGAATTTATAGAATGGCTACATGTTGTCTATATCCATGGGAAGATGTTTTCTAATTTGAGTCATAGATTCATTGGGTTGGAAGGAACCTTAGAGGCCTTCTAGTCATATCAGAACAACACTTGATTTGAATATTTTGGCAAACTTTTTACAGAAGATTGAATTTGCTGCAATCTTAGCTGAGTCACTGCAATATGAGTAGGTCTTTCTGAACTCATAGATTTATTTTATTTATTTATTTATTTTGTCAAACATGTACAAGATAGCAGGTATAAGTATAAACATGGACAAGAACACAGGAAATGAGTACAAATAAATGGGAGCATAGGACAGGGACGGTAGGCATGTTGGTGCACTTATGCACACCCCCTTTACGGACCACTTAGGAATGGGGTGAGGTCCACGGTGGACAGTTTGAAGTTGAAGTTGTGAGGGTTTGAGGCTGTAACAACAGAGTCGAGTAGAGCATTCCAGGCATTGACCACTCTGTTGCTAAAGTTGTATTTTCTGCAATCGAGTTTGAAGCAGTTTACCTTGAGTTTGTATCGATTGTTTGCCTGTGTATTATTGTGGTTGAGGCTAAAGTAGTCGTTGACAGACAAAACGTTGTAGCAGACAATTTTGTGTACTATGCTTAGATCGGACCGCAGGTGGCGCAGTTCAGGATTGTCCAAGCCCAGAGTTTCAAGTCTGGTGGCATAAGGGATTCTATTGTGAGTAGAGGAGTATTAGACAGGTATTGTATCAAATGACACAGGTTCAAGCTCATAATACCTTCTTACATTAAGTATCCATAAAAAAAAAAAAGAATGGGTACAAACCATTACCTCATTTAATAGTCTAAACTTATAACAGACATGACTTCCTTTGCTTTTTTCATAGCTTCTGTGACATGCCATATATAGGATGTTTCTGTTTATAAAATGGATTATTATACTCTGTTTATAAATTTAAGAATGTTTGTGGGGAAGCAGAGTATAATAATATATTTTCCAAACAGAGAATGGAGCCGAACATAGCTGAACGAGAAGCTGGTAAACAAATCTGTTCCTCTGGAGCAAGGAGAACAGGGGTGGGTTCTACTTACCTTTACTACCGGTTCGCAACGGGGCCGCGCGCATGCGCTCGCTTCACTTGCTCACTCACGTGCTCTTCTGTGCATGCGCAGAAGCGTTCTAATGACATTGGGGTCAGTGGGTGGAGCCTCCTGCCAATTTTACTACTGGTTCTATAGAACTGGTGCGAACCGGGGGCAACCCATCACTGAAGGAGAGGATCAGAATTGGCCACAAACGCACCCTACAGTGGTTCCCCACAAGAACATAATAAAACAGCAGAGTCCTGGGAGCCAAAGGAAAATCAGCTTTGCCCAAACTGCATTTCGGAGCCTTCAAAGAGACACTAGGTTTTCATACTTCCTTTCTTAATCATTTTTGGAAATTGTTAATGGCTTCTTTGGAAATTGAGAAACTTTGGAAAGGAATGTTTCATTACACTGGGTGAATTACTTGACAAATCTTTCATGTAAATCTAAGGATTTTAAAACATTTTTTGTTTGAATAAAATAAAACGACACTTAAAACATTGATTTTAGAAAGTTTATAAACAGATTAAGCGGCTAGAAGAACTATAATAAGCCTTCTCAGGACAAATTGTTGTCGATTATGAAGAAAACATGTTAACAGGAGAGGCTGAAAGTTGGACAGGAAAAGAAACAAAGTTTATAAGATACCTGAGAATGGACAAAGATATCTGAGTTTGTAAGAATTTAAGGATAGTTTGGTACAATATACTCAGAAATTATTCTGCAGATGGTCTGCTATTATAAATATGGATTTTAAAAATGTTATAGAAGAAGAAAATATCTTACTGGACAAAACAGTAAGAATCTTACAATGGATCTACAAATTAAACTTTCTGATAAAGTAAAAGGGATATACAAATCTTAAATTGAAGATCGACTTGGATAACTTTTTTTATCTTGGATTTACAAGAGACTTATTAAAGTTGTGAAGGAGTTTCTGAAAAGAAACAAGAGAAAGTTCCTAGGAAATCAATTTTTGACATTATTTAAAAGAACTAAAGATAAATAGTCTTAAAAGTAAAAGGAAAGGAAGGCTAAATTGATTGTTTTGATCAAAGTTAAAATATATATGTTGTATTTCTGGTAGCTCTTAGTGGAATTTTTTTTTTATTAGGAGCCTATAAAGGTTTGTTTATGATAAGAGATAAAATATGGAATGAAAAGAGGGTTAGTTTTTTTGGCTGTATTTTAACAGCAATAAGTTATTGTGCTGAAAATAAAGAAATATAACACTGATTTATTTGATTGAGGATATACTATGTATGTTATTAATGGTCTTTTGCTGATTAGGAACGAATGACAAAGCTTTATCATTTAGAGATAAGAGATACAACATATGGGAAGATCTTTTGTTGAAATATCAGAGAAGGTGATAAATTACTGAAATTGTACTTGTCTTGAAGGAGGGAGGCACTTTATTTATCTATTTTCTCTGCATTTTATTTTTATTAAATAATTGGTATGGAAATGTTAAAATTCTTGAAGATACAAAGCTGTAACATATAGCGACATAGCACTTACAGAAAACTAACTAAAAGGGGGGGGGTATTTCCAGGATATAATTCTGCACTCAACATTTCTCAAGTAATTTTGTTAATGTTCTAATCTCATTTTAACTAGTATTATTATAGCTCTAATGTTGTTTAATGTTTTTTTAATGTTTAGACTTTATTTTTATTTTGCAGTTCCTGATGATGTGTTTGCTCAGAATTACATATGGAAAGGATCCTACAATTATAAAGGCAAAAAGCAGCCAATGACCTTGACTGTTACTCATTTCAATGCATCATCTGGAAGAGTGAATGCGACCCTTACTAATAGCAATATGGAGTTGTTGCTTTCAGGTGGGAACAACAATTATAAATGTCTATATTTAATTCTGTTAATATGTCTACCAACAGCCTGATCAGAGGTGGGTTTCAGCAGGTTCTACCAGTTCTGGAGAACCGGTAGAGGAAATTTTGAGTAGTTCAGAGAATCGGTAATAAAAATTCTGACTGGCCCTGCCCTCGTCTATTGTCTACCTCCCAAGTCCCAGCTGATCAGGAGGAAATGGGGATTTTGCAGTAACTTTCCCCTGAAATGGGGTGGGAATGAAGATTTTACAGTATCCTTCCCCTGGAGTGGGGAGGGAATGGAGATTTTATAGTATCCTTCCCCTGCCATGCCCACCAAGCCATGCCATGCCCACAAAGCCACACCCACAGAACCGGTAGTAAAAAAATTTGAAACCACTGAGCCTGATACCCATTTCATGGAAGTGATAATCATTGTAAAGCCCTTCACAGTTTTGATGTTGGAAATTTTCAAGACAAACTTATTCAAGTAGAATCTCACTGCTCCATGTGATTTCGTATGGATTGATTGTGCTTGACACCCACACTGAAAGTGATCAGCTTTCTCAACACATTCAAATGTCTCTCTTAAAACAGTTTCATAAAATGGTGAATGCAGGCCTCTTCAGGAAAGTGCTTGGATCTGTTTGATGGTAGTAGCAGTTTTAATTGTAGTTTAATGAAGAAGATTTGTTGATATTGGTCCTACAAATATTTTGCAGTTGTTCTGTTGTGTTATTCTAAACAAGAATCATGAGGTGAAACACATTTAAGAATGCAACATGGCTAACTCATTTTCTTGTTCTCCCTTATGCATAGAAGCTGTCTGCATAGCATTAGAACTGCAACTTTCTTTTAACCCTGAACTGGGAAGTCAATAAAATATCTAGATCTGCATGATAGGCTATGGCCCATAACCTTCAAGAAAGAAGCTTTTTATGATCAGTGAATTGATTCAGGATAATAGTAACCACAGCCGCCAATCAATGTCAACCACTCTGACATTTCCTGTTTCATTGGAGCTCTTATTACTTATGAGGTTTAGATTTGAGCTTTGCAGAAATTCTTATGTTGAAATGTCTTATTGAAGGGTGGTTATTTCTAAACTGACATGTTTCGAACTGCACTAAATATGCTTATATGCTAAATATGCTAATCACAGGATTATATCTTCTATTCTAAACAGTAGTACCATTTAATGGCTATTGAACAAAGAGACATACGAACCCACACTTGACTACTTAGAAAGATTGTATTTGAACAATTACTTCAAATATTTTGTTCTTATAAAAAAAAACAGAAAGCACAATTTGGTATATTTGATTATTTAATAGTCTGTAATTTCTTGCGTCAACTACATTGTAGAGGACATTAGATAATGATTCTGTGAAAAACATTAAACAAGTAAAGCCAAGGGTTTGTGAATGGATAATTGCATGCATTCATGGACGATCCATCCACATAATAACTGGACAAATAAGTATATATAAAAACTCTAGGGGTTTCAAAACAGCATCTCAACCCTTTGATACGATACAGATATTTTGTGACTTAAGAGAATAGATCTATTTTGGATCATCATATGATTCCACAGGCCTATTAAATGAAGACCAATCTCTTTGTCATTGATGTGTGTGTTTGGAAAAAAAAAGCATTTGAAAAAGTTCATTAATATGTGAATAATGATGGCTTTGAAGGACAGAGAGAAGGTCCATTACTAAGGCAATGACCAAGTAAACAAAACTTGACAATAGACCAAGAAATGAGGGGTCCTTGGTGTTCTCTAAACTTGCTTGTTTTGTTTTGGGGTTTGTTTTGTTTTGTTTTGTTTTGTTTTGTTTTTGCAGATATTTCATTATCCAAATGAGGTGATATCATCAGTGTAAATCGGGAGTGTGATTTACTCTCAGTTTATATTCTAGTGGCTTGCCTGTCAGTGTTGGTGGGAGTGGTCTTGGTGATTCTGTGGTGAGGTTATTTACTATTTAACTTGTTTGGCAGTTCCTTAATTGGGATATAGTTTACTTCTTGATTGTTGGTCTAATGTTAATCTTGGTGTTAACCTCTGTTCATCTGGGTATTGATTGCTGATGGGGAGGTGTTTTGTCTTTTTGTTCCTTTGGCTTATTGATTGTCTCATTTGAATTGTATGTAGATATTGTTTATGTCTAGGTACCTATTGATGGCTGATTTGTCAGAGTACAAGGCTTTCAGGAGTTCACTAGGATTTTTGGATTTGGCTTGGTCTAGGATGGTCACAGTTTCACAGTTGAAACTATGATTTAAATCTGCCCATGTGTTGTGAAATTAAAGAGTTTTCACCTTGTTTTCTAGGTGCTAGTTGGTGTTCATGAATGTATTCTGGTAGTCTTCTGCCTGTTTTTCCTACAGACCAAGAAAGTTGTGTGTGTGAAAAAGGCTCAGATAGCTATCACTCCCCAACTCATAAAATTAGGGAGAAAAGAGAGAAATTAGGAAGAATATTCAGACTCCCAAAATTCTGTTACTATAGTTGTTATAATAAAAGTACCTTTAGGTACTTAAGATCTTCTTGACAAACTGAAAATGGGTATCAATACTTGAACATTTTTCCTACTTCTTTTAAAACTCAAATGGGAAAGATATTAGATCTAAGAAATCATATAAATTTGCCAAAACTAGGTAACTTACCTTGGAATTAAAGAGCAGGCAATGTAGCAACATTTCTTTAAAAAGAATCCAGAATTAGATCCATTAGTATAATTCTTGCACTCTAACTAGTCCCAATAAATTGGCAGAAAGCATGATTAATTTAAAATCATTATAAAGCGCAAACCTTGTGGAAAAAGAACTAGCATGTCTTCTATGAAGGAAAATGATGTGTCAGCATTCTTGGAATATTAATAAATATGTGGATAGGATATTTTAAGTAGACATACATGGGGTTTTCACTAACTAGATTGATGGAAGATTCATAACTGATTAAGACGTCTTCATCAGACATTCACAATCTATTCCATTCACTTGGAATATTACATCCAGTTTTGGTTGCCATGATATAAAAAAGATGCTGAAACTCTAGAAAGAGTGCAGAGAAGAGCAACAAAGATGATTAGGGGACTGAAGGTTAAAACATATAAATAATGCTTGCAGGAATTGCATATGTCTAGTTTAATGGAAAGAAGACTGGAGTGACATGATAGCAATGTTCCAATTTCTAAGGGGCTGCCACAAAAAAGAGGGGGTCATCCTGTTCTCCAAAGCACCACCAGAGCAGGACAAGGAGCAATGGATAAGGAAACTAATCAAGAAGAGAACCAACTAAGGAGAAATTTCCTGACAGTTAGAACAATTAATCAGTGGAAAGAATTGCCTCCAGAAGTTGTGAGTGCTCTAATACTGGAGGTTTTTAAGAAGAGATTGGACAACCATCAAGCACTGAGGCAGTTGGATTTGAAGTTGGACCCTTCCAACTCTGTTACTCTGTTAATTTACAGCATTCTGACTAAACTGGGATAAATCCAAGGAAATTAAATTTGACATTTTTTCAATGCTGTGGTTGCTTTTGTTGTACCAAAACTTCTATTTATTGCAGCAATTTGTTGCTGTATATACAGTATAAGCCACATTATGAAGATTTGAAAGGTATGACAAAAATTTACATAATAATAATGATTTTATTTGTGATTATTAAGCAGTACATTTATCTCGGAATGAGCACAGTTGAACTGAATAGGTTTTATTCTGAATAAATTCATATAGGATTTGATTTCCAATCACAATGTCTTGGATTACTACATAGATATCACCTCAGCAGAAAAAATTGTCCCAGAATATCTTAGAAAAAGTGCTGGAAAATAAGTCTCAGGGTTTGGTCTTGCAGTGCTTCCCAAAACTTTTCCTTCATTACCCCAATGTGCTTATTAGAAAGTTTTATTAAACTTCAAGAACTGGTCATAAGTTGTTTTTTTTTCCTTAAGCACTACTGAAACCTTGAACAGTCCTTGAACCATTGAACAGTCAATGATGATGATCAAAGAGCCGCAATGGCACAGTGGTTAGAGTGGAGTACTGCAGGCTACTTCTTCTGACTGCTGGCTGCCTGCAATTTGGCAGTTCAAATCTCAATGTATCAGTGGTTAAAAGACACTGAGCTTGTCAGCCTGGGTTCGAGCCTGGAAAGTTGAAAGCCTGGTTTTGAAACCCGAGCATCATGTGACGGAGTGAGCTCTCATTACTTGCCCCAGCTCCTGCTCACCTAGCAGTTTGAAAGTATGCAAATGTGAATAGATAAATAGGTACCACTTCGGTTGGAACTTAACAGTGTTCCGTGTACCTCAGCGTATAGTGATGCTGGCCACATGATCATGGAAGTTTCAAACCATAAGAGGCGCAGTGGTTAGAATGCAGTATTGAAGCTAATTCTGCTGACTGCCAGGGGTTCGATCTTCACCGGCTCAAGGTTGACTCAGCCTTCCATCTGGGTAAAATGAGGACCCAGATTGTTGAGGGCTATATACTGACTCTGTAAAATACTTAGAGAGGTCTGTAAAGCACTGTGAAACGGAGTATAAGTCAAAGTGCTATTGGTATTGCTATCATACTCAGTCAACTGTTGTAACTTTAAACAGTCAATGATCTACTGTATTAGAAAAACAATATCAATAAATGATATTTTTATCATTTCAATGAATTTTGGTCTTAACTGGAATACTTTGGAAGATTTTCAGATATATTTTAGTATGTGGCAATCCTTTTCACCTTAAATGTCCCTGTTGCACTGAGTAATGGGTTGTGTATCATTCTCAAAAGAAAAAAAACCACTTTTACCCAATTCTGGATAATTTACCCAGAGTTGTGAAACACTGAAGAATTTCACACATGTAACTTGGTTGTGTTCAAGATAGAATAGATATAAAGGATGTATCAGAAATGACACTTCGACAAAGGAAAAGAAGAATTCAATTATATTTCTTGCTTCTGTGTAGCAACAGAAACTCCAAAAAAATCTTGATCTCTCAAAAATATGC